ACAAAGACACGGGAGGCCATGCCTCGGAGACGAGGCAGGGAGGGGTGACCAAGGCGGTGGAGGAAGAGGAGAGTCTGGTGAGACAGAAGGCGACACGAGCAGGGGGCAGACTTAGGACCGGACCGGGACGCGGCAGCAAACACCTGACCCGACGCAGCTACCTGACTAGATGCAGTAACCGGAGGAGACACGGTAGTGAGGGTGTACAGGCTCGACCCAGGCTGACGGGTGAACGTGGCCAGGTGTCGGCCCCTCCGCGTACACGAACAGTGGGTCACCCGCTGACCTCCAGGAGTGAACTGGTCAGCCCAGGCGTCCTGAAGGTCAGCTCCACTCACCAAGTTCGTGGAGAACGAGGGGAGGAGGAGGCCAGACAGAAAGCCAGACGGGACCGCCGGACACGGCAGGACCGTGGAGGAGTGTGCAAGGACCGGACCCCCAGAGGGGTGAGCCAGGGAGACTGCCACTGGCCGACTGAGCGGCGAGAGTGTGGTGTAGTCGCGAAAGAAGGAGCGGGAAGCACCCGAGTCAAGGGTGAAAGTGTGCAAGGCCTGAGCCGACTCGGTACCTGAGAGAGCAGACTCACCAGTACCTGGGTCAGCAGACTCACCAGCACCTGGAGCAGCAGACTCACTAGCACCTAGAGCAGCAGCCTTAATGCCCGGGTCGGGCGGAACACACAGGTAACAGTCACCCTCGGCACTAATAGACACAGCATACATAGCAGCAAGGATAGCATCATAATCAAGATCAAAGACAGCAACCCCCGACTTAAGCAGATCACCCCAGCGAGGGATCTCAGAGGAGTCGGGAAACTGTGTACGCCAAGCGTCAATCAGGCGGCCAAAGCAGCGCAGTGTGGCGTGCGGTCCTCCACACGTCTTCCCACTGCGGTCGCCGGTGCGGAGAACGTAAGCGTAGGGACCAGCACCCCCAGACCTCCCACGCTCAGCGTACCACTCACGAAGCTGCTGGGGCGACAAGGTCTCACGAGGGCGCTGCTGCTGCTGCTGGGGCTGCCCACCGCCAAAGCCTCCCCGCTGCACAGCGCCACCTCGACCAGCACCACCGCCGCCGCCACCCCCACCGCCGCCGCCGCTGCCGCCACCTCCACTCCCACTGCCGCTGCCTCCGCCGCCTCCACCTCCACTGCCGCCACCGAAGCCCCCACCCCCGCCACCACCCCCACCTCCACCCCCACCCCCTCCGCTGCCTCCACCGCCACCACTGCCGCCCCCGTCGTCTCCTCCAGCTCCCTTGCCCCCCTTGCTCCTGCCGCTGCGGCGCCTCCCACTAGGAGCAGACGCAGCGCCGACTGACTCGGTGCCAACGAGGTCGACAGCATCAGCAGAGGCAACAGAAGGCAAGAGGGGAATGGGGGAGCACCCCTCAAAGAGAGGGGCACGAGGGTCACCACGAGAGGCTCCTACAGCGACTATACTCTTCTCAGCTGCTAGGAGGCGCTCCTCGAGGAGGTCAACGGTGAGTGTGGTGGGGCAAAGGGAAAGGAAGTGGTCCCTGACCGAGCGAAGGGAGTCAGGGAGCCGGGTGACGATGTAGTAGAGAGTGATGTACATAGGGGGGGGGGGGGGGGGTTCGCGGCGCAGAACTCGGCAGGAAGCGCAGCGCGGTAGCGGGTGTCACTAGTGCAGAGGTGCGTAATGAGGTCAGCGACTATGGCAAAAGCGGCTAGGTCAGGGAACAGGTACGGTAGCATGATGCGGCTAAGGGCAGCAGTGGCAGGGGAGGAGTAGCGCGCAACAACAGCATTGTACAGAGTCCTAGCGGTCTTGTACTAGCTAAAGTGCGCGCGCTTAGCAGACGGCAGGTGACTACGAATAGCAAGACGGGCAGCAGCATCGCGCGTGGTCCACTGCGAGCGAACAATACTGTCAGCATCAGCAGCAGGTGCAGTAGAGGTGCCAGACGTAAGATCAAAAAGCGAGACTCCATCCTTGCTATCGCACTGCAGAAACAGCTGCAGATCATCGACCTAGACCTCGAAATGAATTGCTCGACCCTCAGCATCGAAGGAAAGTACATTAGGGATAGCCATGAGAGCAGTAGTAGTAGCAGTAGCAGTAGATGTAGCAGTAGCAGTAGAAGTAGTAGTAGCAGCAGCAGCAGCTAGAGCAGCGCGACTCGGCAGGGCGGCGCGGCTCGGTAGGGCGGCGCGGCTCGGCAGGGCGGCGCGGGCGCGGCGGTGCGCTTACCAGGGCGGGATCGGGGTAGGGCCGCAACTGGAAGGGCAGGGCCGAGGCGCGCCGGTAGGTCAGGGCCGCGTCAGGCAGGGCCGCGATGAGGCAGGGCCGCAACAGCGGCTGTAGGCAGGGCCGCGGCGGCAGCGGGCAGGGCAACGACGGCTCCAGGCAGGGCCGCGACGGCAGGGCAGCGGGGCCGCGACGTCAGGGCGGCCGGGCCGCGACGGCGTCAGGTGGGGCCGCGACGGCAGGGCGGCAGGGCCGCGACTGCGTCAGGGTGGGGCCGCGACTGCAGGGTGGGGCCGCGACTGCGTCAGGGTGGGGCCGCGACGGCGGCAGGCAGGGCCGCGACGGCAGGGCGGCAGGGCCCCGACTGCAGGGTGGGGGCGCGACGGCAGGGCGGGCCGCTACGGCAGGGCCGCGACTGCAGGGTGAGGCCGCGACGACGTCAGGGAGGGCCGCGACGGCAGGTGGGTACAAATATGAACACCTAAAAGAGTTGTACCCCATATTGTCAACCCCACTACAGCCTACAATATGGTTCTGACACTTATCACCAGGAGTCATAGCAGTATGAGCGACAACAGCACGCTTCGGCAGCAGAGGAGCACGTTCCTTCAGAGGAGGACGCGCCATAGGGCGATGATGAATAAAAACCAGCCGCAGATGACTTGCAAAGGCCTGGAATGCCTGAAGTGCTGAATGACTGAGCCCTGTATCATATAACTGCGATGTTCCTCCATCGAACCAATATTCTTGGTGTAGGTGCTGAGTTGTCGCTGATAGAACCTGAGGATGATCATCAGTAGCCTTGGAAATACCATGTAATAAGAATAACCAATCCCGTCTTCGATGTAAGAGCTCTTGGAAAGCGTGGTGGACCAGGGCTGACTTTATCAGACTAAAATAGTCTGATTGTCTGAAATCTCAGGGTATTTTCCTACGGATCCTGATTTTTCAGACTTGTAAGATTTTCAAACATGAGTGCCTCAGACTTACTTGGTTTTGGATCCTGAGATTTTCAGAGTACTGACTTAGCCGATAATGGGTCTCCATACTACAGGGAGTACGGATCCTGAAATGCGGATCTGTGATTTCTACGTACATTCCGCTACGTCATATGTTGCCAGTGTACGAACACACTTCATGGCGCTGTCACGCGCAGAATCTGTCCTTGGCAACTTTTGCCACCCTTTTCCCTTAGAAGTCTGCCAACTTGGCTCACTCTTCCACTCACGCGGGACCATCACTGCAGCTACGCGGTGTCAGCGAGGGAAACTTGTTAGCGTTGCGCCCCACGTGCTACATTTGTGGCAGTACTGTACTGCAGTGGTTGTAGTGTGTTCTGAGTACTTCAGACTTGTGTTTTTGCGGAACCTGAAAAATCAGAGTGGCCATTCTCTGGGAAATATGCCTCAGACTAAAAATTTTCAGAGCCCCCAGAACATCAGACTGGATTTTTTTGAATAGTCAGCCCTGTGGTGGACTGATGATAGGGTATCAGATAATGAAGCCTTGAGAATGTACGGCTGAAAGAAACTGGACAGCAGATCCCGAGAAACTCTTGATACGATGTTCGCCTGATGAACATTATTATTGTACCAATCGGTTCGTCGCGATAAGGCGATTTCTAAGCTGTATCTCTTAAAGCCATTTGGTAACTCTGGTTCACGGAATGTCGGGCTGAAGACCCTGAAGAAATCCATGGCGACGAGCTCTAGGTGAGGAATCATGTCAAGCTGCAACATTTCCAGGCTTGGGTTGTGTGTAGCTTCCACTCCATTTTCAAACTTGAGCCTGCAGGAACCATCTCCTGGAACTCACAGAAGCAGGAGCTTGTCTCCCTTTCGTCAGTCACTGTAGAAATGCCTGTAAAACAGTTAGAATAAGGGAATGTACCCCTCAGAGTACATAACTAGCTAGAACTATTTATCATGTGTGTAATTTTTTGTTTAATCAACTTGGTCATCTACATTCACTATGATCTGAGGTTCTAAACCAAGACTTCCGCTACCAAACTCTTCCAAGGCATTCCTATCCTATCCAAAGGTCCTTTACTCTAACACCAACCGCATGGAAGAAGTCACCAAACGCGCGAAGCGAGTTACCAAGCGTGTGAAGAGAGTTGCGCGTTATCAAACATGTGAAAATATCCTGTAATAGTTACTGTACACGTTATAGTGGCCCATAATGGTTACCGTCCACACATTTCCCCCTGATTCCTCGCTGAGAGGCTCCTGTGTGGTGTGCAGGTCTGGCCTGTGTTTCCATTCCAAGCCCTCCAAGAACCAGTCAGCCCGCCGTTTCGCCTTCACCTTCCTTTTCTGGATAGTCGAATCACCACCAAATCAGCCTCCCCCAGGCCAGGCCCCTCTGTCGGTCGCTACTGCTGTGAAGTGTACTGGTCTAGGAGTATTTTCGCAGGCGACTTCCTTCCGCCGCTGTATTCCGCCGCTAATCGCTCTGTCCTTTCGCCTGAAGCGTTGTCGTTTGCGGGACCATTCTCGTCCCGAACCGCCTGCGCCTCGAGGGCGACAAGTCTGGGCCAATCCGTCTCGTCTCCTGTTCGCACCTCCGCGGTCCGAGGGCAACGCGTGCCCTTGAACGCATGCCTACAAAATGCATAGCGCATTGGGAATTAGCAGATATGAACTCAAGCAACAAGCTCCAGTCACTTCAATTTGCCCAAGCTTCTTTTTCGTACTCAACCATTCGAGTCTCTCGGTGTTCCCTATACCGCTTGAACCTACGTGAACAGCCATGGCATCGAAGAACATCCTCGTTATAGCCGTCCTCGCAATGCTCCTCGTCAGCCTCGCGGTTGCTGACAATCAGGATCGTAAGCGGGACGGCACGGGTAACCAGGACCGCGACAGGAAGCGCGACGGCTCGTGCGCCAAATCCGGCACGTGCAGCGGCGGCAAGAACGGCGGCAACCCCGGTGGTCGCGGCGGCAATGGCGCTGGGAGGGGGAATCAGGGGAAGAAAGGCACGGGGACTTGCAACAAGAGCGGCAGCGCGAGTTGCGACGGCAGCGGGCGGAAGAACGCGGTGATGGCGAGCTCGAATGCTGCGGTGGCGGCTGCTGACGTGGACGTGCAGGCGTGTGACGGGGCGAAGCAGGCGGGGAAGCTGATGAGCGGATTGCGGAAGAGCGGATTCAACAAGTTCGCGGCGGCGCTGCAGCAGACAGGTGCGCTGTGCGCCACTGCTGGCACTGTCCCTCTCCCTCTCCCTCTCCCTCTCCCTCTTGTCTCACCTGCCATCTCACCTGCCATTTCCATGTGCGCCACCATGCCTCACACCATCCGCGGATTTGGCGGATGTGTTGTGTGCACGCGGAGTGATGCTGCTGACCCTCTCACCTGCCCTCTCACCTGCCCTCTCACCTGCCATCCCCGTGTGCCCCACCATGCCCCACCCTGGCAGGCCTGGCGGCGGAGTTCCCGGAGGTGATGTGTGCGGGCGGGGTGACGCTGCTGGCCATCCCCGACGCGCCCATGGGGCAGCTGCCCCCTTCAGTGCGAGGGGACCCGGTGATGCTGAGGGAGCAGCTGCTGCTGCACGTCGTCAAGGGCGCCCGCCCCTACTCCCGCATGCAGGCGCGCGGCAAGAACTACAAGGTGAGAAGCAAGCACCACTGGCGTACATTCAACACCAAATTTCAGCACCACTGGCAAGCACCTTTGTTTGTGTGCCGCTCTTTTTCTGACAACAATCCCTCGCCCTGTTCTCTCCCCCGTTGCCCACCTCTCTCCTTTCCAAACCCACTCTCTCCCCAACCTCTCGCCCCTCTCTCCCAAACCCCACTCTCGCGCCCGCAGTTCGCCTGTGCGGCGGGGGCGGGGTCAGGGCGGCTGGTGAAGGCGAGCCAGGGCAGCGCGGCGCTGGTGCTGCGAGTGGGCAGGGGGTGGGGGCAGGCAGCAGCCGTGACGCGCCCCGATGCCTTCCGGTGCACGGGGGGGGCGGTGCACGGAGTGAACTGCGCGCTGGGCTTGGGGCGCATGGGCAGGCCGGGCAGGCGCGTGCCTCTGGGGCAGTGCCTGCGCAACGGCAGGGATGAGGATGATGACTAGTTGGGGGGGGGGGGAGTGGGATTAAGTGGGAGACGAGGGGACGAGGCTAGAGTAGTGAGAGTGGAGGGGTCAGGGGGGTATTGGCTGGATAGAGCAAGGAATACTGTTGTGTGCATGAGAGAGTTCGGATCGCATCGCATGCTTCTCGCTTGCATCGCATCGCATGACATTTTGTTTTGGAAGGTTGGTGGTGGGTGGAGGCATGTGTGGGGTTGTAGTTCTGCCTGCTCTGAAGGCAGAGGATGTGTTACATAGGGCTTGGAACAGCAAGAAGCGCGGGAGATCATGTTTGCTAGTGCGTGCTTGCTTTTCTAAGCCCTGTGAAACAGAGCTGAGGTTGGGTTGTGTTTAGTGTGTGGATTTTGTGTGCTTTTGTTATTTACTGTAATGTTAGCAAGCATCCCATCCCATGCTTTGTTTTCCTGTGTGCCTTTTCAAAGAGAGACATTGTCTCCAGAGTAGAGAAGCATATAAAGGTTGTGCAATACAGTGCACGCCTCACGGTACGTTTCGGCTGACAACTCAACAAAACCCCCAAGTCTCAAAAGTGTTGGGAACAAACAATCTTAAGCGCCCCTGTCGTGTCGAAACACCAAGGCACAAGCGAAGCAGAGCATATCGAGGCACCAGCGAGTCAACCCTCGGAGGTTGAAGTAACCGCTGGAGGTTACGCGAAAGCCAAAGGTCAGCGACCTTTGACTTGACAAATGCAGCGCGACAGCAAGGACACACAACTGACTCGACATTGAGCAGTTGCCCGAGTCGCACTGTATCGAACCGCAACAGTAAAACAGTTTAATTATATCTCTTCGTATTCTTTGTACTCTTATATAAACCTTTGTACTTGCTTGTTTTAATCAACTTACTTTGCCCTCACATACCAGCGCAAGGTGGTTCAAGGACTTCATTTAAACGCTTCCGCTACTACATCACTCTACCCAGAGTTTAACCCTACCAAAGATCCTAAGGGGCACTCAGCCCAACATGGTATGAGAGCTGGTTAGGGTTAAAATTATTTCTCCTTAACACCTAATACACCAAGAGACATGTCTACCAGAAAGGAGAGGAGCTCCTCCAACGGCTCTCCTGGTACTACTCCTACTCCACCTCCTGCCTCTGGCCTACAGACAGAGGAAGGCACAACAACGAGACCGGCAGCTGGGTCTACTGAAACACCCGCAAACCAAGGAGCGGGCTTCGATCCAAGCATGATGGAGAAGTTCTTCTCCTTCATGTCCTTCTACGAGCAGCATCAGCAAGGAGCACCTGCGCAATCAAACAACAGCAACAACAACAACAACGTGACGCCCATGAGTCTCGATGGCTCATCCTACGCACGCGGGAATCAACAACGGCAACCTACCTTCGCTCCGTACGAGCCCAAGCGCGGCTCCGTCAGCTTCATGCCACAACCACAACCTGCACCGGGACAAGAGAGAACGCTGGACGCACTACAAGTTCAGTCGCAGTTCGCGCACGTTATAAAACTGCAAACGACAAAACCCTTCGACGGGAAGGATTTCTTTACCTGGTCGTTCGAATTCGAGCTGATGATGGAAGGAGCGCAAATCCTTGGCTTCTTCGACGGGTCCCTGCCATACCCAACAAACGGCACACAGTATGAGAAGCAGCAGTACACCTATCAATCGATGATGGCGTACACGATACTACTGAGGAACATCACTCCAACTCAACAACAAAACATACGGTCTTACCGAGGCTACGGCAACTCCGCGGAGCTCGCGTACAATCACTTGAAGAGACTGTATCAAGCAACAGACAGCGTAAACCAAAGTCGGTTAATGGCGCAGCTGACAACAATCGAAATGAAACCAAGCGAGAAGGGAATGGCGTATATCAGTCGCTGCCGCGAGCTGCGCGACAAGCTTCTTCGATGTGGAGGATCGATTTCAGAGGACGCCTTCGTCACGGTTGTCATCGGCGGTCTTGGTCCTCACTGGCGCTCCACTCGCGCCATACTACGAGCCCATGGGAAAATTTCTGAAGCAGCACTTTGCGCCGAAATCCACGCCGAGCAGCAAGACATGGACCTGCAAGAAGAACGACACAAGAGAAAGGTATCAGTGCCCGAATTCGCGTTTCACACTCAACGGCGCCACAACAACAACAAAAATCGACCGAAAATCGTACCTCCGTTCTGCCACCTCTGCAAGACTTCAGGACATCCTCATAGGCACTGCCCGAATCGACAACAGTCAACGTCGCCGCAACGCCAACTTCGCCCTTCAAGCAGTCAAGTCGCCTCAACGCAAGCAAATCCGACAACTTCAGTACAAGTCTCAACAACATCGACGGGACAACCTGCGAAAGGAACAAGAAACATCGTCAGCTGCATGGCAAGGCTGAGTGACTCCTGCGTAACTGAGTCACCACCATATTACTCACCAGAAGAACAACTCGACAACAGCACGCCTCGCCGCGAGTCACTTCAACCGAACCCGACGTACGCCGCCATCGCTCAAAGCGAGCCGTCCGGGAAGGATACATGGTTCTTGGACAGTTGCTGCGGACAACATATGTGCTCTTCAGGACGTTTCGTTCAACGCGAGCACCAACTTCAACGAGAAGTCGTCATCACTGTCGCCAATAATCAGAACCTGCGCACACGACGACAAGGAGTAGTGCAACTTCAGTCACGAGAGACGAATGTCATACTGCAAATGTCCAAAGTCCTAATAGCAGAAGGACTTGGCTACAACTTACTGAGCGTCAGTCAGTTGATGGCGAAAGGTGTTGGAAACCAAAGGAAAGTTAGAAATGAGAAAGAGGGGTTTCACTAGCAAGCAGTTGAGTACATATAGCAAACCCTAAATTTGGGCTGTACTCACTATTGAGTACCCCACTGCAGGCTAGACAAACATAATATTCTGACACACCCCCATAGCCAAAGTGGGGTGTAATCAGCACAAGAAAGCAAAGCAAAACAAGCTCAGGGTGGATCACAACGTCACCACACAGTCTGAGCACAAGTACAAGAAGTAGCAGTTTATAGTTCACAAATATAAGCAATGCTAGAGGCTATCACAGAGGGCAAGTGAGGAGGAGGAGGCTGGACTGATAGGAAAGGAGATAGGAGGCAACTGCTGAAGCTGCAGACACACGGGCAACAGGAGCGGCGCGCACAGTGGCTACCGGAGCAAGGGCCCCGGACTACAGGGGTAACTGGCTCTGCGGCTAAGACGAGCGGCAGGAGCAACGGACCCACGGGCGACAGGCACAGCAGGCTCTCTGAGCTACCAGCAGCAAGGGCCCCGGACTACAGGTGCTGCGGGCGACAAGACGGCTGCCTCCTCCCAACATCCCCAAACTGTCCCACCCCCCCTTTCACACACCCCCTGCTGCACCCCTAGGTTCACTCACCCCCTAGCACCACTCCGTCCACTCCCACACACCCACCCCCCTCAGCGACAGCTGCAGCAGTGGGAGACGGAGGAGTAGGAGGAGCAGGGGACGCCACTCACCCGCCACCCCCATACCCGCCACCCCCTACTCGCCACCCCCAAACCCTAACACAGGGCAAGGCGGGTAGGCGGGTAGGGAGGTTACGGGGGGGGGGCGCGACGAAGACAGGAGGGGCCGACGCGTGCCCCCCTGCAGTCGCGCGGCCCCCCCCAGGGCGCCGCGACGGGCGACGGGATCCGGGGCCGCGCGGGCCCCCGTTGGCGCCGCGACGGGCGACGAAGGGGAGGGGCCGCGCGGGCCCCTGGTGGCGCCATGACGGGCGACGAAGGGGGGGGGGGGGGGGGGGGCGCGCGGGCCCCTGGTGGCGCCGCGACGGGAGACGAAGGGGGGGGGGGGGGTCGCGAACGAGCCCCCCCGGGCGACGAAACCGCCGTGCGCCCCGAGGCGCGCGACGGGCAGGGCACCGTCGCGCGCCACGGGGCGCACGACGGGCAGGGCAGGGCGTCGCGCTGCCCCCAGGGCGGCGCGGCGAGCAGAAAACCGCCGCGCGACTCGAGCGCGCGGCGGGAAGAAAAAGGGCCGCGCGCCATGGGCGCGCGGTAGAAAGAAAGATGCGCGCCCGAGGCGCGCGATAGGCAGTGTAGCAGTGGAAGCTTAGGTGGGCCTATCCACAGGATCGACCCATGAGGGTCGACCTGCTCTGATTCCATGTTGGAAACCAAAGGAAAGTTAGAAATGAGAAAGAGGGGTTTCACTAGCAAGCAGTTGAGTACATATAGCAAACCCTAAATTTGGGCTGTACTCACTATTGAGTACCCCACTGCAGGCTAGACAAACATAATATTTTGACAAAAGGCATACATCTGGAAGCCGACAGTACCACCCAGGAGTTCAAGCTGTACCACGGGAAGGGCGGCCTCTACATCGGAAAGGCGGTCCTGAAGAACAATGTCTTCGTTCTCGATTTCGTCCCAGACCTGGGCACCGCAGACAGTGACGGGATCGTCACCTTCACATCTTGGACGCACCCGCCGGATCTCGACCCCGACTTCAGTCCGGAAGGCTTTTGGTATTCACATACCATTCCTGAAGCAGAACGAACACGTGCGTTAGTAACAATACAACATTCGGCAGCAGCAGAGACAACATCAGCAGCAACAGAGACAACATCGGCAGCAGCAGAGACAACATCGGCAGCAGCAGAGACAACATCGGCAGCAGCAGAGACAACATCGGCAGCAGCAGAGACAACATCGGCAGCAGCAGAGACATCATCGGCAGCAGCAGAGACATCATCGGCAGTAGCAGGAACAACAACAGTAGCAGCAACAACGACACCACTCCTCGTTGACGAAGCACCACCAACACCCGCACAGCAGCTGAATCCGGCTCAACGGGAAGTCCATAGAAGCGCAAACTTCACCGCCAGCTTCTACTCCAACTCCGACGCGTATCGACGCTCACCCGGACACCGCGCCTCCGAAGACATCTGGCACGCACGCATGGGACACCCAAGCAACACTGTGTTAAACAACACAATAAGAGCAGGAGTCCTTGACAAGGACTCGTTACTACTA